TATCCTCATAAAAACTCTTTACAGCATTAAGTAACTTGCTACCTATTCCATACACTTGCAACATCTGCCACATTGCTTCCCTATCCACTCTATCATATGCCTTTTTTAAATCTATAAATGTTATGAAAACTTCCCTACCTTTATCTAAATGCTGTTCACATATATGCTTCAATGTAAACACTTGATCTACACATCCCCTACCCACCCTAAAGCCTCCTGCTCATTTGCAATCCTACTCTCTGTCTCACTTCTAATTCTTTCAATACTCAGTAAACTTATTCCCCTATTTATTTTGAAGGAACTATGCACACTCTCTGCCAATCCCTAGGCACTTTCCCCTCTTTCATACATTTATAAAACAAAAATACCGACATCTGCAGCACTACATTCCCCCATTCTTTTAACATTTCTGTCATGTTCCCGTCAGTTCCAGCTGCTTTACCCCCTTTTATTCTATGTAATGCCTCATGCACCTCCCTCACACTCACATCCCACTCTTCGTCACTCTTAAAAGATGTTATACCTCCCTGGTCAATGCATGAATTTACAGCCTCCCTTTCTTCATCAACATTTAAAAGTTCCTCAAAATATTCCAGCCATCTACCTAATACTTCCAGTTCCCAATCAACTAACTCCCCTACTCTGTTTTTAACTGACAAATCCAATCGTTCCCTAGGCTTTCTTAGCTTGTTTATCTCACTCCAAATTTTTTTCTTATCTTCAGCAAAAATTCTTGACAGTGCCTTTCCCACTCTGTCATCTGCTCTCCTTTTGCACTCCCTCACCACTCTCTTCACCTTTCTTTTACTTTCCATGTACTCTTCTTTTCTTATATCACCTATGCTTTGTAAAAACCTCTCATAAACTATTTTTTTCTTTTATCACACCCTTTACTTCATCATTCCACCAATCACTCCCCTTTCCTCCTGCACCCACCCTCCTATATCCACAAACTTCTGCCTCACATTCTAATACTGCATTTTTAAAACTATGCAAACCCTCTTCAACCCCCCCACTACTTATACTTGCACTAGTCCACCTTTCTGCCAATAGCTGCTTATATCTCAACCGAACTTCTTCCTCCATTAGTTTATACACTTTCACCTCTCTCTTATTTACTGTTGCCATTTTCCTTTTGTCCCATCTACCTCTTACTCGAACTGTAGCTATAACTATATAATGTTCCAATATATCCGTTGCCCTCTATAAACATGCACATCCTGAAGCCTACCCATCAACTTTTTGTCCACCAATACATAATCTAACAAACTACTTTCATTACATGCTATATCATACCTTGTATACTTATCCTCTTTTTTCATAAAATAAGTATTACTTATAATTAAACCTCTTTCTACACATAGCTCAATTAAAGGTTCCCCATTTTCATTTACCTCTGGCACCCCAAATTTACGTACTACTCCCTCCACAACATTTTTACCCACTTTAGTATTGAAATCCCCAACCACAAGTACTCTCTCACTTGGTTCAAAACTCCCCAAGCATTCACTCAACATTTCCCAAAATTTCTCTCTCTCCTCTACACTTCTCTCTTCTCCAGGTGCATAAACACTTACTATAACCCACTTTTCAGATCCAACCCTTATTTTACACCACATAATCCTTGAATTTATACATTCATATTCCTTTCCTGCCATAACTTATCCTTCAGAATTATTGCTACTCCTTCTTTAGCTCTAACTCTATTTGAAACCCCTGACCTAATCCCATTTATTCCTCTCCACTGAAACTCACCCACCCCCTTCAGCTTTGTTTCACTTAAAGCCAGGACATCCAGCTTCTTCTCATTCATAACATCCACAATCATCTCTTTCTTATCATTCGCACAACATCCACGCACATTCAAATTTCCCACTATGAGAGTTTTCTTCTTTTTCTTTTTTAGTAATTATTACAGGAAAAGGGGTTACTAGCCCATTGTTCCCGGTATTTTAGATAACTTTTACAATCACATGGCTTACGGAGGAAAGATTCTTATTCTACTTCCCCATGGATATAAAAGGAAAAGCAATAAGAACAAGAACTATTAATATAAAATCAAAGAAAACCCAGATGAGTACACTAACGTGTACATATATGTGTAGTGTGACCTAAGTGTAAGTAGAAGTAGGAAGACATACCTGAAATCTTCCATGTTTATGAGAAAGAAAAAAGACACCAGCAATCCTACCATCATGCAAAACAAATACAGGATTCCATTTTGCAATCACTTGGTAGGATGAGATATATATATATATATATATATATATATATATATATATAATATATATATATATATATATATATATATATATTATATATATATATATGTCGTGCCGAATAGGCAGAACTTGCGATCTTGGCTTAAACAGCAACGCTCATCTTGCCATATAGGACAAGCGAAAATTTGTGTATGCAATAACTTCACCAAAATCATTCTGAACCTAACGAAAAAAATATATTTCACTGTGTTTGTTTTGTATTAAATTACTGTAAACAA